CAACTTGTTATTTGGAAATTTTATTATTTTCTCAAAGTATTTAATACTCGGTTTGTTATGTTAAATTCATGAGAATATCCATATACATGTATGCAATCATATGATTCATACATTTTTCTTTGTGATTATCGTTAATGTTTTTATCAACATTAAAAGACCGCTTATAGTATTTTGTATTTAAATTGAAATCGATATTATAGATATTAGTTTACGGATTAAAATTTAAAAATGAAATCTGTCTAATCCCAAAAAGAAAATAAATGTATACACTAATTTCAATGTTAATCCTCTTTGCTGTTTAAGAGCTAATTTTCAGTGAACGATTAGCGATTAAATTAAAATTAATCTTCAAAAGTTGTTTTTGAGTACCCGATAAGTTAATTTTGTTAACTATTTTAAGCTCCCAATGGAGGCAGATTAATTTGGTTAAAAAAACACAAAGTGTGAACAGCTGTTCCGAAAACATAAATAATATGTTAAACGTTACAATACTTTTTTTCTAGAGTTCTATTTTGGAAAAAAGACCTTTTTGTTAGAACTTTGGAACCGATTCAGTGGATACGTTATACTATTTTCCTGAAATTTCAATCTTTAATTCAGTGAAATTTTAGTGAGTTTCTTTAGAGTTAAAAGTTTATATAAAAGATATTTTAGATTGCTAAATGAAAATTGGCACATATCTTCTCCATAGAGCAAAATTAGTAAGGAATTAAAAGTCACCGAACACTTGCAATTAACACTTTAGTATCAAAATTATCATTCTTGCTTATTTTTTCAAAGATTGGAAAAGTGAAGTATGATTTTGAAATATGTATCTATGTACATTAGGGTGGCTCCGTTTCTATGGAGGAAAAATAAGGGGTCGATGTTCACAACTAAAATGTAAGCTTAATCTAAGATACCGTTTCTCAAAATTTTTGTTCTGACATCAATATTTGCCGAGCTGGGTTCTGTTGTATGGGTCAAATAATGGGCCGATTTTAACCATTTTCAATAGACTTCGTCCTTGGGCCGAAAAAGCACGTGTACCAAATTTTATCCAATTATCTTGAAAATTGCGTCCTGTACCTTAAACGTCTAAAAAAATGATTCTAAGCCGATTGGTTAGGATATTTTTGTATTGTACAAACATCAGCACAAACCCAATATACCCTCCCCACTAAAGTGGTGTAGGGCATAAATAGTCCAATTGGTTTTAAAAGTTTTTACAAACCTTCATTTCGTTGGCCTGTTTAATTATTATTAGCTTTAGTTGCAGATTTGAAGGTGAAGGAGATTAGAATTATTTTTTATTTTTTTTTTTTTTTTTTTTTTGTTTCAAACTGAATTTTAAAACGAAGTCTAATATAAATAATTATGTACATACATATTAAATTTGTACAAAATATTTTTGCATTTAAAATAATAGACTATAATAAGAGAAGAATAAACCAATTTTTTTTATAAAGAACGAAAAAAAATAAACCAAAAAATCCATTACAAATTCATATTTATAAAAATAATACTCATGGAACGTATGATTGATTCACATTAGATAACGAAATTACTCATACGCCCTAAAAAACAATAAAGCCACACACTCCACCGTTTAGTTTGACACAAATTTCGTATTTGCAAGAAACATCAATTCAAGTTCAAAAACCAAGAAAGCAAGAAACATCAATTCAAGTTCAAAAACCAAAAGCACAATATTTTTACCCATTTTTTGTTTTTATTGCATTTAATACTGATAATCCAATAGTAGTCCGCCTAACGCAACAAATTTTTTCATGTCATTTAAAACTACTGGCACATAAATGGCAATAAACAATATCAACACACAAAAGAAAACAGAACAAATCAACCACCAACGAACAAAGCGAAAACGTAAAATGAAAGACTAGGAGAAAAATATAATAATAAAGCCATTTTTATTGAGACACACTAACGAAAATCAACCCCTGATATGTAAACAGCTTTTCTTTTTGGAAATTGGAGCAGTACGAGCAAATTGAGAGTCAAAGTCAACGAAAAACATGTTAAAAACAAAATATGAAAAACCAATTTGAAAAGTAAACAAAAACTACAGACCACAATACAAACGGCAATAAAAAAACACAAAAATAATCTAAAAGAACACGAATACGAACTCACGAACAAGATTGTAACAATAACCTAAACGAACAAATTTTTCTTTGAACCCACATACATATGTACATATGTATGTTCATTAGGGTGCTTCTAAAACAAAAGTGGCTGATGTTCCCAACTAAAATAAAAGTCTAATTTCAACTAAGAATGAGATTCTTAAAATATTTGTACTGAATATTTAATAGGAAGGGCCTGAACAACATTTCATATACGCTATTCAAGGCGTCTTTAAAAGAAACGTTTGATTTTGGAGCCATTCTAGTATACAAACAATACATGTTTAGAAATTTTATATTTTCAGAGAACAAGTTTCTGCTAATAGAGTAGAGAGAGGAAATGAACATGATTTGTAACAAGTGCCTCCCTCCATATTTGAACTCGATAATATTAAAAACGAGAACGAGTTCAATCAAAATGGAGACACACATTCCATTTTTCCTCTCTAAACAAATAAATATAAACAAATAAATAAACAATTGTTACAGTTGAAATTTCCGTTATAAAATTTAATTATATTCTTTAAAAAGTCTATCATTTTGATTTAATTTAATTAAAATTTTGATACTAATTTACCATAAAAATTGCATACTAAGGATTTTACTAGAATCAGCAAATAGCGTTTATAACACAGGCGAAAAAATTTTGAAAAACGTCAAAACCCAGTGAGATATTTTAAACTAAAAGTCTCAAAAATGCCCAAAACGGTTGTTTTTCGCCAGATTCCATCCTTAATAAGAGTCTCTAGGCTTCACTCAGTTGGGCCGTATGAATATTTCTGCAGAAAGTTGGGCAGATCGTTATTGATTTTTTGAAGGACTGTACTACAATTGTGAGGATCTACGACAAATATATTTCATTATATATATTACAAAAGGATTGATATAATCAATGAAATACCTATTTTTATAAATCTAAGTAACGATTACACTTATATTTATGTAAATACATATGTATAAAGAACCATCTATCTATCCATGTTATTTATTATGTATATAAAAATGTATGTATGTGTTTTGGTATGTTTGTTTGTATATATGTATGTTTGTTTGGACTTTATAGACTCCTAAATGGCAAGACCGATTCTTGAAATTTCCACAGCGTCTTCCTGTATGTGTGGAAGGAAATATAGGCGAGGTACCAGGCCATCATACAAAATAAGTATTAAAAGTCGCTTATCTCAGAAACTGCAACAGCTAGAGTCCTCAAATTTTGTATTGAAAACTTTGACATCAATATAAACATATAAACAGCCGTTCTATAGTGGGCGTGGCACTTCCCATATATAAAATCTTAAATTAGAGCATCTCAGAAAATATAACAGCTAGAGTCTTCAAATTTTTTCGTAGTCACTTTAGTATCTCCCATATGGATTAAATAATAAAATTTTTGGGGAAGTATTAGAGCTTTAAGTACTGCAAGAATAAATTTAACATCTATGTGAACATTTGGGGAAAAAATGGGAGTCTTGGAACCTCTCATATGAATAAAATACAAAAAATCGTATATCTGAGAAACTATTGGAGCTAAAATCCTCAAATTTTGCACGAACAACTTTGACATCCACATATGAACAATTGGGTAATAAATTGATGGGCTAGTAAAAGGGGACCAAAATTTTGCACGAAGAACTTTGACATTCATTTGAACATTTGAGGAAATAGGGGCACCTCTAATTATGAATTTAATACAAAAATTATAATATCTATATAAAAATTTTCAATAAAATCTAAATTAAAGTTTGGAAAAAATTGACGGAGTTACAATGGTTGGAGTGTCATATTCCATATAAATTAAATACAAAATATCTTATATCTTGGAAACTATTAGAGCTAGAATCTTCAAAAATTGTAAAGTAGATTTTTTATTTATATTGTTTTTACGGTAGCAAAGCACACTGGGTATAGCTAGTATAAGTATAAAGGATTTCATACGATAGAGAAAAGTGAAAAGAGATTTTTCAATAAATTGTAACACACATAGTTTATGTCAATTCATAAATTGTTTGTTCATATTCACATATTTCATGAAAGCACAATTACACAACTTATTTATAACAACAAACAACACACAAGAGTGAAATGATGGCAAATGTCTAGAATGGATTTTACCCCGTAGATGGAAATGCAAGTGATTGGATTGCTATTATTAAATGAATAGAGAAATGGCAATATGTAGGAGAATGAATCTGTTTGTATGGATCCAAATGATGTGAGTGTGTGAGGATGAATTACATGGCAATTATAAATTGTATCCTTTTGCGCTTATTCTTGTTTTCTTCATCATCATTCATTAATGGATGTTTGTATCTACTGACACACTTTTTTCAAGTATCTATCTGTGGCTGTTTGTGTATAAAACGTACACATTGACAGTCACAGCACACTGACTTACTAACAAACATATTGTACGAGTTGTATTTATAAGCAGTTAACCACCAACAATGTTGGTCGGTTGGACGTTCGTTTGGTTGGTTGGAATGGTAATGGTGATGATGTGATGTTTGGAATACCTATACACACATTTAGTCACTCACATGTATACATACACAGATACCTTCCTTCTGTTACATTAGATTACTTTCATTTGATGGAAAATCATTTTTCATCTTTTGTGAAAAATTATTAAAATTCGATTTTTTTTTTCTTTTAAGAGATACACACAATACACATTTTATGAAAAATCAGCTTTTTCACTTCATAACAAATATTGAAAAATTGCAAAATTAATAAGATTCATTTGAATATTTCGTTTTTGAAATATTGTATACACATTTTTTCCCAAGATTACATGCATATTTAAAATATATGTAATTTATTTTTCGTAAAAAAAATATAAAACTTTGCACATTTCTTTTAGTTTTGCTCACTCACCAATGTTTTGAAAAATTTTGTTTTTCTTTCAACTCAATTTAATTCCATGAACAAAAAGATTTATTCCAAAATATATTAGATTTCTATGTAAATTTTTTATAATTATTCACACAATAAATTTGTAATATTTTTTATTCTTTTAGTTTTGTTTTATTTTCACAATAATTTCATAAATTGTAGTTTTCACAATTCCCGTGCTTGATTCCACTGCGTGCAGTTCGGTGTGACCGTTGAAAAACGTATACAAGAATTTTTCTGTTGTTGCTGATTTCGAAGTTGCTTAATCGCACAAAATCTACAAAATATAAACGACACTCACATACAAACAACAACAACAACAAAAATGAAAAGCGAAAATTCAACTACAACAAAAACTGAAAAGAAAAAATATAAATAAGAACAATATTGTTTTTTCTATTCGAATCGTTTGTTGTTTGGAAAATTCGGAAAAATGTTTATGTACCTAGAAACCAAAACAAAGTGCCAACTTGCTTACTCTCTTTCATTCCTTCGTTCGTTCGTTTAATTGTTCCGCACATACATATGTGTGTGAAAACGATAGAAAAAGTTCTCAATGAAAGTTCGGAAAATTTTGCATTCAATAGACCTGCGCATCAAATTCTTTTACGTTTAAATATAATATTTTTGTATTGTTCCATCAAAAGTTTAACATTTTCATCCTTAATCATAATCGTTGATAAGTTTTAATGAACTTTTTTCTACATTCAATTTAAAGCTTTTCTGATAAAACAAAGCTTTTTAATGCGCTAAAAGTATCAGAAATTCAATTAAATTTCTTAAATGGTCATATTTGTAAATTTTATTTAATTAATATTATTACTAGGAATATCCTTTTTTATTATGTTGCTTAGAGTTTTCTAGTACTAATAAGTTGTGATATAAGTTTTCCTTTCTTTAGTAGATAGCTGTGATTTTTTCGAAACCTAAATCTATTACTTTAACAACTTCCTGAACATCGTTATGGCTGTTTAACATGAATTATTTGAAGGAATTTAAGTTTTAGCTTAGTTTTAACACAAACTAATTAAAAATAAGTTTGAGCAAGATATATTAGACCCAAATATTCTTTATTATATTTAAAATTATATGTATACTAGATATACCCAATGTGCTTTGCTATCTTAAAATCAATATAAATAAAAACAAGTAAGAAATTAAAGTCGGGCGAGGCCGATCATATAATACCCTACACCTGTTACAAAAATAAAATGTGATTTAGTTTTCCTAATGAAGCATTTATGTTGAATTGTACCTTGTCTCAGATAAGCCATTTATTGTGGAATAAAATTGTGGATATTTAAGTCAAATTTTGAAGGGGACTTTTGTAGGGGCTAGGGCAGGGGTCGGCAAACTACGGCTCGCGAGCCAAATGCGGCTCTTTGGATGTGGAGCTATGGCTCTTTAGTTTCATACGCAATTTTTTTATTTTATAAAAAAATATATATATACATATATTAAAATATTTCTGAATAGATTAACGAGCAGTGTTAAAACTAACAAAACAATTCGCAAACGTTTCTACAATATACACAACATTTCAACTTTGTTTAATCCTTCTGTATGTGAAACAACTAACAATTGAATGTTTAGAGTCGTTTGTGAAACTTTAAATAACAAGTTATGATCCAAACTTTCTAAAACTATACAAAGCTATCTCTCCTATTGAATTTGTTCCATGTACAAGTTAGTATTGTAAGAAAATTTTTAATTCTTTAAATTTTTAGTTGAAAAGTTCCTTATAAACGATGGGGTATCATGAGCGCTCCTACGAAGTGTCATTAGATAAAATGTAAAACAAGATCATACATTCCGAAATTTTCGTGTTTTTCGAATTAAAAAATATTTTTTGGAAATTGAAAATATAGTAATTAAATAATTACTTAATAATGAAGAGAGTTTGGACACAGTTACCCAGGAAAAATTTACATTGAAAAGTAGTGAGTTAAAAAGCTAATAAAACCTCTTTTCACTACTTCTTCATTAGCATTTTAAGTCATTATTTTAACACGGTGATGTCATTGGAGGCAAGTACTTCTACGCACGCTTACTAATATGAAGTTAAAGAAGTACTTGCAATTTCTCTTACAAAACAGTTGTTGAGTAAGTTGTTTTGTTTTTTAATAAAAAAAAGAGCCAGCTAGAATACGAACCAGGGACTTCGATTTTTTAGTCAAATGTTCTACACACTGCACCACTGCTTAGCTATTTTATTGCGCATCAAATAATGGTTTTCACAATCAAAATTAATTTTGTTTTATTTTTTGTAAAACACAATTCTTAAAAAGCAATTAAATAAAATGTGCAAAGAAAATGACAAAGCCGAAAATAAAGTACTTCTATATCAGATTATAAGAAAGTCATTACTAGAGTACTTCTAAGTAATGCAGATGGTAAGTAGTAGTCATTGAAAAGTAAGTGGTTATGGAAGTACAACCCATTACCGAGTTTTTGCTAAGTAAATACTAAAAACTTGTTCTATTTAAAAACTTCAATATTTAAATATTGCGCGTTTTAGAAACGTTTTACAGTGTATTATGGACCGACCCATGCTTACAAAATTTGGTTTGGTTTTTCGTCGTTTTCGAAAGTGGACACTATATGAGTGGGTAGGGTCAATTCTGAATCCATCCTTATTAAATTTGGTACAGATATTTTTGTTCCTATAAACTTGTTTATGACGATTTTCACCACTATGCTGGTATTATTAAGCATGTTATGATCGTTAAAGTCATTTCCTGAAGAGGTCAACAATGAACTGATTCTTAAAAAATTTTGGAAAGAGATTTTCGTTCCTATAATACTAATACTGCGTCATCAATTTTCGTGATTTTTACATTTCCTGATATGTTTCCAAATGCCTTTTCAATGATAACACCGCTCTACTCTAATAAACTTCTATATTTTTATATAACGAGTGTTTAAAAAATGCATTCGAATGACCCACAAAAATTCAAAAAGTAATTGTAGTCAAAAATCTATAAGAAAGGTTCCTTGCAGAATGTCCTGTAGATAATTAAACCAAATTTATGTTTTTGAAGTGAATTCATAAAGTATTTGTAAAGTTTTAATAAACAACAATTTTGTGGCTCTTTTAAAACATATGTTTTGTAAACTGTAAATTTTGGCTCTTCCGACTCAAAAGTTTGCCGACCCCTGGGCTAGGGTCAAATGAGGCCCTATAATTATAAAATTCATGAGGGTTTCTAAGACTAGTATAGAACTTGGTTTTACAGCTTATTGTCGAGATAGGAGTATATAAAACGTAATTTAGAACTTAAAAGGCCTGTTCGGCGGGTTCAGTTGTATGGGGGCTAGGTGAAATAATGGACCGATGTTAACCATTTTCAACAGGCTTTGTTTCCGGTACCATAGACGATCATGTACCAAATTTCATTGAATTATCTTCAAAACTGTAGTTTGATTACAAGGTTTACATGGACGGACAGACGGACGGACATAGCTAAATCGACTCAGAAAATGATTCTAAGCCGATTGGTATACTTTAAGGTGGGTATAGAACCAATATTTTTGTGCGTTACAAACATCAGCACAAACCCAAGTGGTGTAGGGTATAAATACACTTTACGATTTTTGATGATTCAAGCTCTGACAGTTTCCCAAATATACTTCATACTAAGGTGCCTCCGAAAAAATGAGGACTCTAGCTGTTATATTTTTTTCAGATATATGATTTTCTTTATATAGGAGGTGACCATGGCAACTGTAACTAGACTGCCCATTTTTCCCATTTATTCCACATGTATATAAAATACATAAATATCAAAGTTATCCATACAAAATTTGATGACTTAAGCTCTTGCAGTTTCAGAGATATGCGACTTTTAATGCTTATTTTGTATGAGGGAGTTGTACGCCGGCCACTTGAAATTTTAAAAGAAATAGTGAAGTAGCCGATTTCAAAATTCATTATCATTGCCCCTCCAGGGGCAAGACCCCATCTTTGTGTGATTGCAATCGCAGAGAAATGAGATGCTACCAATACCTCTAGTATGGCGGGACTATAAACTGATGATGATCAAGTGTATCTGGTACTAAGGATAGCCAATTGCCCGCAAGACTTTGTCCTGACTGGTCAGTTGGATGAGGTTCCATCGTGATGCACGTAATGGCTGTGGTTTAAACCAAAATTCACGGGATGAGAATTTGTCGGTTAAAGGACTGAAATTCGGTAAAATCTGTAAAATGGATAAGTTAGGTGCTGAAGCAGAAGTCAACAGATACCCAGCAGAGGAGTAACTGTGGGACTAAGCGTTGGAAATGAGTTGGTGTTATGTGTATGTATGTATATGACATAAAATTAATGTATACCTAGAGTGTGTCGGATGTTGTTCTCTATTGAATCTGTCGGATGAATGAGAAGTGTGCTGGGTTGAATGGTGATGGATGAAAGATATATTATACAAGTGATACCATTAAATTTTCCTTCCTTGTCCAGGTATGTTCAGGGAAAACTCTGTTTATATCAGATTTACCACAGTGTGTTCTCTGTGACTAAGAACAAAGTCCTCGGCTTATTTGATGGATTCGTGTTTCGGTCTACCTAATAACGTATCTAGGTGCTGTTGCCGACTCAACAGAAGCCATCCCATCTGTGTGGTTGTAAACGGTAGTAATGTTCTCGCATCTTGGAAGATAAGCAACGGGGCAGCAATGGATAGCTCAAGTACTTGAGAAAAGTGCTTGTACATGGAGCAGCACAACCATGTACAAAAATTGCCACCTGCATCGAAGATACACAAAAGGGGCGGTGGTGAGTCGTCACAGAAGCTCACCCAGTGGTTGAAAAAGCCCAGCGTGAAATAGGCCAACACGGCAGGTGTTCACTTAAAGCACTTCGACGTTCATTCCGGATATTCTGTCTTAGCCCAGGAAAATTAATCGATAAAAATTAGCAAACTTGGGAATTTTATATAGTTAATTGATTGGAGATTTTTTCTGATATTTTTAAATTCACTTGTAATTATATATATGTATATATATTTGATTTTTGTCAATATTTTATTCATTTCCAATAAAGTTTTGTGTCACTATCAAACCCACCAATTACCTTTATATGAAACTGTTAAAAGTATACCATACGAATAATGGACTTAACCACTGCATACGCAACGATTGTTTCCAACGAATTTAATTGGAGAGGGTAATGTTCAAAATTGCACAATTGCCCACAGAGAAATTTTAAGAATATTTCCATTAATCTATAATCTATATGTATATATAAAAACTAGCTAT